GCAGCTTGCGGCGGCATATCATAGCTGGAATAGGAGCGCGGCACGTAACGCGAGCTGCTTGCCGACGCGTGCAAATTCGAGGCTGCCGACGGAAATATGTCTAAGGAGAAGAAATCAGAAATCATCCTCATCTATATTAGAAGCAACTTTTGGCTGATGGCAGCTACTCACCATCGTCGGCGCGCTCATCGTAGAGGCGACTGTTTCGGACTTGGGCCAGGCCCACATGATCATAGTCGTCGTCGCAATCCAACATAACACCACTGCGTTCCACCTCGAGACGCAGGTCCGGACGTAGTCGAGTGCCGGAGCCAGAGCTGCCGCCGCGGGCCGCCGCCACATGCCGCATACTCGGCCAGACTCGCCTGCGAGTCAAAGGAGCTGAAACGCGGCGAACGTTTCATTTGGAGGCGGCGCTGCCATTTAAATCCGGCTGCATGTGGCTAACGGATGCCGATTGCGGCACTTTCGGCCGTGCGCCCGTCGACGTTTGCAGCGACGTTGACGTTGCCGGCGCAGTAACACTTGTGTTGCTGCTGCTGCAGCCGCCGGCGCTGTTGCTGCTCGGGCCGACCGCTGGATCCAGGGATGTCACTGTGCTGCTTGGCGCAATTATTGTGCCGCTGCTGTTGAGAAAGTGCTTAAAGGAAAACGTAGATGTGGAGGTGGAAGAGCCAACATTCGAGCTGAGCGTCGCACTGGTTGTTGCCGTTGCCGTTACGGTCGCTGCGCTCGCTGTTGCTGCTGCGCCAGTTGTGGCCCGGATATTTGTGTAGTCGCCGCGATTGCTGCTGCTCCCGCTGCCATTGAGCCACAAGTCTGCGACCAAATCATTGACGTTGCTTCCGCGAGCGCTAGCCGGCAGCTTTACATCGCCGCAGGCTCCGCTGCCGTCGCCTGTCAGGTGCTGTTGCTCTTGTGCTGTTGTTGTTGCAGCCGCCGCCGCAGCAGCAGCAGCATCGTCCGTATTGATATTGTTCCCATTGCCATTGGCCATTTAAAGTTCGCCAGCCGCCGATAGTCGCTAAATAGTTTTGTCAGCTCGTTTCCTGATGTTCTCGGCCGATATTCTGTGGCTTTGTTGTGTGTGCCTTTTGTGGCTTTTGTGTTGTTTTCGCTACAAATTTAGTTAATTTGGCGTTGCATTTCTCTGCCGACTTTTCACTAGAGTTGTTGTTGCTTAGAGCTGGACATTAACGATTCCCTGCATTCTCTGCTGTTATCGATATTCGAGGGTGGCCTATCGATAGTTATTTTGAATGAGCGCAAAATTAAAGCCAAGATATTTGTTACAAAATGACAGCAATAACTACTACATTTCTAAAATTTTGAATTGAAAAGTAAATTGTGCCCCAATACTGCATATTTTATTTAGAAACATATGATTTATTGTTGGTATTTTTAAATGACTAGTGTGTATTTAAATACTAGCAGTTGGATTGAATAGTTGCTTTTCAGCTCTTGAAGTTTTGACATTTCATGTTTACCCGCATACGTTCACATTGCTCTCGTGGTTTTTGTTTTGTCTTCGTACTGCTTGCCTATTGCTTCCGAGGAGAACGGCGATTTCGGGCATAAACGTTGCTAATTGGCGCAATAAATGCATAATTAATGCAATAAAAAGCGAAAGGCGAACGTGTACGTTTTGTGTAAATAATGAAAAAAAAGTGAATGTTGCAACGGAAAATAATTAAATACGAAACCAAATACAAAACATCCAATAACAAAAACAGTGCAAGGGCGGCGTAAAGAAAGTGGAAAAGAAATTCTGCGTAGCAAACAAACCGGTCGGCGGGCAACATACATACATACATACAAATACATACGAAAACATCGTCAATATATCGTATGCAAAAGACGCATTTTGAACAAGAAAATAAAATAAAACTCGTATGCTCAAAAAGTAAAAACGTACGCAAATAATATATTGTATTGTATTGTATTGTATACACAGACAAATATCACACAGTGTTTTCCACAGTTTTATATTTGCGCTGACCAAACGAAAACGCAAAAGGCGGCCGCCATATGCGACTGCGACTTGGATTGCTGTTGCTGCTGCGGGGGTGACAGCGCCAGCGGCGTACCAAAGGTGGTGAGAGCCAGAGCCGGAGCCAGAGCTGAAACGACGCTCACCTTTCGCGTATTGTAAATTGTTTTTACAAATACACGCAAAGTAACCCCTCCAAACGAGCGACCGACCGACCGACCGCCCGCCCGCCCGCCGCCCGGCCGCGCTGCAACAGCTTCGTGTGTTCCACATTTGTTAGGCAGCGCCCCTTTTGCTAATATGCACGCTGTCCTGAATTTGATGCAATAAACAGAGAGGCAGAGAGAGAGAGAGAGAGAGGACTAAATAGTGAAAATGTATTAGTATTAGTGATCAGCAGCAGCAGCAACAGCTTTTCAAGCTAGGCTCACTCTCTTGCAATAAAGAGAGCATCACTTGGTGGCCATGTATTAGTGATCAGGAGCAGCTTTCCCAGCTAAATTCACGCTCTTGTACTCTCCTCTGTGTTTGTGTATGTGTGTGTGTGTTTGTGTGTGCCAATTTACATTTTTATAAATGCAACGGAGCAAGAGCGAATCCAGCAGGCAGGTAAGTTCCAATTAGGACTTGGCTAAACACAAGTGCCTATCCATTCATCCTTCCATCCATGCATCCATGCATCCAGTCATGCTTCTGTTTTCTTTTTTCTTCTTTTTTTTTCTGTGGGGTTGTTTCATTCTCTTCTATTCAACTTGGCAGCAGCCGCCTGGCCACGGCCCCATTATGACTTGTCTACATTTCTTCTTCGCCTTTTGCTGCTGTGTCTGTCATTGCCGCAGCCGTTCCCTTTTCCACTGTTCCGCTTTGTATACAAATTATGGTGCGCGCTTTGCAGCTTGTTGTTCTTGTTTTTACAGTTGTTGTTGTTTTAAGCTTTTATGGCATTCGCTGCTGCGTCGTGCATTCCACTCATTTGTTGTTTTTATTGCTGCTGTTGTGTTGTTGTTGTTGTCGGTACATACATATATAGTGTAAACGTTATAAATATAGATTTCAATTTGCCTTTACCGCATTCGAAATTGATTTTGGTTTTGGCCCACAGTTAATAATTGCCCTGCCCCCCCCCCACCTCACGGTCAATGAGCCAAGAAAAGTGAAAATTGAACTGGGTCGGGCGGTTAGCTTGGAAGCGGGCTAGTGGGGTTTAATATACATATATCGTTTGCACCTCTGCCCTAACCTAAAGGCGTCTTCTGCTGCTGGTAATTCAATTAACATTTGCTTCAGTACTCGACTGGCCATCTTCGACCTCCCGCCTGCCTCCACCCCCCGCAACAATTTGTTGACCCATTTTCGGGTATTTCTTGGTTTTGTTCTGCTGTTAATTAATATTTGTAATTTTCGTGTTTCCCTCAGCTCGTTCGTTGGCCGCGATAAGCAGCTGGAAATTAACAGTTTATACGACGTGAAGCTTTATGGTTTCATTATCTCTTCTTTGGATTGGCCGCTACACTTATGGCTCGCAGTGCGAGGGAGTGGGTGCGCTTGGAGGTGGAGGTTTATTTGTATACCCTGTAAATCGGTTAACGGGGTTTATTGATTATGTTCAAGCGAATGCAACTGGCAGAAGGCGGCATCGTCGACCTCATAGGATACACATAATCTCGAACAGAGTAACAAGCTGAGGCGATCAAGTGTATATTATATGGAGATGATATTTATTTTGCGTCCTCTTTAATACCCCTTCGTTAGGATACCTTTTTAAAGATTATGAAAGTGGGAGAGATAAAATTTGGTATAAGGGTTTTTTTTACTTCTTTTCCGATTAAAAAAGAAGAAAGAAATCTTATTTTAAAAGTATCAAAATGGTGTCTATGTGGCTACAGGGTATTTGCTAGTCGGGCTCATGCCACAAGTAGCACGTTTTATTGTTGCTGTTGTATTTGTGTGGGTTGTGCTTACGTGATTAAGTGTCGCATTCGACAATCAATAGCAGCACTCACGGTTTATTCATTTTCTATTTTCTGTGAGTTTGCTCTTGAATGACACTTTTCCAGTTTTCACCAACGTGTTACGAGGTTTTCTAAGCTTTGCAATGTCTATTTGCAAATTGTGTTTCGGTTTCAATAACACGCTCTATCCCTCTCTCGCTCTCTCACTTTCTCTCTGGTGAATATGGCCTTTCTATGCGATTTTCATGAGCTCAGCTAGGGCTTACATGCTTCTTCGGGAATTAATTTATATAACTGTGGCACTTAAAGCCACTTAATTTTCATTTGTTTTTCAATATACTTGAAGCCATTTTGATAGTTTCGAGCTTTACTTTGCTCCTTCTTCTAATAATAAAGCTTTCAAAAGGAATAATCAGTCGGATGAATTTTGTTGAAGTCTCAATTGTCCTGATCGGAGTATTAAACTACATTGAAAGCTTTCATGGGATATAGTTTTACCTTCGTTTGAATATAATGTTCGCTGCAAAAACAAAATGGTGTGGAATAAAGGATTAAAGTAAAGTGTTGAATTAAATTACATTCCTCGCATTTCGCTCTTTGCCTTCCTCCATTATTGACAGTCGGCTAATTGCTTGGGACGATAAAATGTTCAGGTATCCGTTTGTCCTCCGCCAATTGCCATGTCCAATTTGCGACATGTTTTATTTCTATGGATTCCTTTTTTTTTATTGCAATTCAATTTATTCTCTTCCATTTTTGTAGCTCTTGACGCTGCCCGCGAGTGCGGTGCAAGCATAGAAGAGTCGCCTGGCAGCGAGAGCAGTAGAAGCAGGAGCAGGAGCTGGAGCAGAGGACGGTCGGGATTCAAATGTCGTCGTCGAGCAACGGCGGCATCAATAGTGCCACAAATGGCCGCAGTGGCAGCACTGGCAGCGCCAATATAAGCCTCAATCTGAAGGCCAAATCGGGAACAACAACAACAACAAACACGACAACGACACACAAGACTTTGCCGGATCTGAAGACGCAACGGAGCAACAGCAGCGTCGGCAGCGGCATCGGCATCGGAGTCGTGCCAAGACCTTGGCCACACATCGACGCGACAGCTCGCATGTGGAGAAGTCCCTGCTGCCGGAGCGGCCGCTCAGCTATGGGCCGCCGCAGCAGAGCAAGGCTGTCGGGCTGAGCAGGGAGCCCAGGGAGGGGCATCTGGTTCTACTGTGAGGTAAGCTGCATTCGGGCACGCTGCAGTCCCTCATCATGCACATGGTGCCCACGCATGACTACTATCCGGAGCACGGTTATCTATTTGCGTTCTGCTAAGCGGACGCTTGTTCATACGGCCATACGAGCTGCTCGCGCAGATCTCTAGCAACTGGGAGCAGCAGCAGCAGCAGCAGCAACAGCAGGCAGCTGGCGGCGGCTGCGATGTGGTCGATGATGCAGTGGCTCAGCCGCCGGCGCTATCTCTGCACTTGAACTCCGCCTCGCCGCTGACACAGCGCAAGGGCACAGCGGCTGGCGGCCAGGAACTGGAACTGGAGCCGAAGCCGCAGCAGCGCACATTGACGCAACGTTCGGCGCAGCATTGCATACGTTTGCTGTCCGAGTGGATTGAGATCTTTCCATATGACTTTCGGGATGAGCGCCTTATGCAGCAGGTTCGCATACTGGCCAGAAAGTGTGTCTACATCGACAACTCGCTGGGCAAGCAGGTGTCGCGCATATTGCAGCTGCTCGTCGCACGCCTGAAGGCTCTGGAGCAGTACGAGGAGTTTCTGCAGACACTCAGCAATGAGGCCATCGAGCAACAGACCCAATGCCAGCAGCAGCAGCAGCAGCAACAACTACATCATCATCATCATCAGCATCATCTGCATTTGCATAATCCGTTTCAAACGTTTCTGGGCAGCTCCCATGTTTCGGCGAGTGGCCACACAACAACGAATGGAACTGCGACGAGCGGCGGCTCCGCGAGCAGCGGCAATTCCACAAATAGTGGCAGCAACTCCGCCTCGAGCACACCACAGCCAGATGAGGTATTTGGCATTATGGACCTTTGTCCCAGCTGCGAGCATTTGGCCCATCAGCTAACGGCCATCGAACTGGAGCGTCTGTCGCATATTGGACCCGAGGAGTTTGTGCAGGCCTTTGCCAAGGATTATCAGCAGGCCAAATGCGCATCAGCCACAGGCAACGCGCCCGTCGATGCGACTGCGGCCGCGGGTGCGGTAAGCGGCTCCTTGAACGATATGAAGAAGACACGCAATTTGGAATCGTATGTGCAGTGGTTCAATCGCCTCAGCTACTTGACGGCCAGCGAAATTGTTAAGGTGGGTGGAGTCGGAGCGGGGAGTTGGAGGGATTAGCGAGTGCTTAAATTGATTGCATGGCTGCAGGGATGAAAATGATGCGAGTGATAAACGTATGGAAATATGTTTGCACAGGGCAAAACGATAAAACCAAATTCAATTTCAAAAAGAGCTAAAAAAAAAGAAATGTGCAAATCAATAAGTTTCTTCTTGGGTTGCTTAGAAATCCATCTCAATTGATACACAGGAAGTAATTTGAAATACGGACAGAGAACATTTAAATCAAGTTTTTGAACAGCTGAGAAGAATTCTTATCAGTTAGTTTTAGCTGTTTTAGAGAAATTCGAAATATTTCTTAACATGCAGATCCAGGAATCTTTTTTAAATATTATCAGGAGCTCAGCAAGTTCTTCTATCATGGATGAAGTTTTTCAATTCCAACTTCTTCAATATTTCCACAAATTAAATTACCCTTTGTTAATTCGCCTTTCTACGCGCTTCTCACGTATACATATATGAGTGTTTTCCGGTCTCTTTCTATCTTTAATTTGGATCCCCTTTCTATTCGATTTTTATGCTCTGCAGTGAGAAAGAATAAAGGAATGTTCAGGATAAGTGTTAGGTGTTAGCTTGCTGCACTGCATCCCTGCTTCCAGCGCATGTGTGTTAGGGTATCAGTCGAACATGCCATTTATCCATTTCCTTTGTCTGCAACAGTATCCGAAGAAGAAGCAGCGTGTACGCATTATCGAATATTGGATCGAGACGGCACGGGAATGCTTCAACATTGGCAATTTCAACAGTCTGATGGCCATAATAGCTGGTCTGAATCTAGCTCCCATTGGCAGACTTAAAAAGACGGTAAGTTTCAAATATTTAAGCTGAATAGTAGTTTTAATTAAAAATTTGTTTGCAATTTGCAGTGGTCTAAAGTGCAATCGGCTAAATTCTCTGTGCTGGAACATCAAATGGATCCAACAATCGAATTTTAATAGTTATCGCTCGACGCTTAAAGCTGCCATGTGGCGCTCCGAGGGCGCTACAGAGGAACGCGAACGCATAATCATTCCATTTTTTAGTTTATTTGTTAAGGATTATATTTTCTGAACGAAGGCTGCTCGAATCGGTAAGCAACACGATTACAATTTAATTTACAAAATAACTAAATACCCTTTCGTTCGCTTTTGCAGTTTGCCAAACAATCATATCAACTTTGAGAAATGCTCACAACTCGCCAAACAAGTCATGGAATTCAATGAATGGAAGAAGGTCACTTGTCCATTTGAGAAATTGCCGAATGTAATTGCCTACCTGCAGCATAGTGCGGTGCTCAATGAGAACACACTCTCGATTGCATCCTTTGAGTGTGAACCGCCCGAGAATACCGAGGAGAAGGATCGCTATAAAACTGTGAAAGCCGAAACGAAGCAACAATTGATGCAGCAATTGCAAGAACAACAACAACAACATCAGTAATAGTTGACTCTTAAGCTATTTAGTATACATACTAATTTAAGTTACGCTTAAGCGCTTGCCATGTTTATTTTTTTATAAACTTAAGTTTTACATAAGTCGATTATACATTTTAAGCCGGGTTGAGAATTGTTTAGGCTAAGCTCAGCAATTAGTTCAGACAAGACGCATGCGCTGCAACTTCTAAGCTGCAAATGACTTCAAAAGCCATTTACTGCATCCTTGAAAGCCTTTATCTGTATATTTTCTTTTTTTTAATTAAGCCCATTCTAAACATCCATTTGAAAGCGACATTTTCATGGAGCCTATTCTGTTAGTCCTCTATACCAACTGGGTTTCACTTAACTCACCTTTGATGCTATTTAACTCTTATAAACCCCATTTACAACACACATTTTGCACTATTTTCCATTATCCAACACTGGACAGTGGCGCATGCGCAAAACACAAAACATTATCTACGAAACGCGAAGCATCTCCAGAATGTTGCCAGTAATTAAATTAATTGAATTAAGCAGATAAGAAAGAACAAAATGAGAAGAAAGAAACGAGACAGAATGAATGTATGTACTTAAGGCATTTTATTGCTGCAACTTATCTTATATTTAATTGGTTAAATGTATGTAATACTGTATTACGGCGACGGAAAGAAATCATATTTATACATAATGTCATAATTTATTTGGAACATTTGACAAACTTGCGTGTATGCGTGTTATTTTGTAAGCGAACAGTATTTATATTTATATATTTACACAATTTTATAGCTAAATTAAATCATTTTTAATATTCGATCGTTTCGACGACGCTTTTGTCCTTGAAGCTTCAACATTTATTAACAATTATTAGCAGTGCAGCATATTTGAAAAACACATAAATGTTTTCTATATATAAGATGAAGAAGAACAAAAAGTACACCTTGTGGTAGCTACAATGATGCTTATCCTTTTAAGATATAATTTTTAATCAAGGAAACTACTTATACATAATAAGTATACATACTTATATTTCAGAAGAAAACAAAAATACAACAAATAGTGGTATGTGCGCGGTATCTCTACGATATTTACTATAAAGGGACTAAATCGACAAACGAGGCCCAACATAATCGATTTAAAAAAAAAAAAACAAATCACTGCTTTTGAATAAATCAAATGATCAAAAACCATTCTCATAATACAATTTTCAAAGTGCCTTTCAATATAAGTTGTGGAACATTGTTTAAAAGTAAAATTTAACGGCGTGTGTGCTTTTAAAATCAAAATTTCGTTATGGAACATCCCTTGAGTGGTACATGACAAAAGCTGCTTGCTGTGCCAATATCCACTGCGATAAATAGTGCTGCCAGACATACAAGAATCGATAGTTCCTCGTGTGATAAAATTTATTTCGATAACTTTTTACCCCAATCAGCCCCTACACCACGGGCACACAAACACACGCAACGTACCAGTCATAGGGGGAAAGCGGCATCGGCATTGGCGCTGTGTTTTATACGCGACGCGATTCTGTTGGCGTACAGACGTCTTTACGGTAAATGGTAAATAAAACTAGAAGTCGAGAAAAAAGCGCATAAATCTATCTAATTGGAAACAGAACCGAGAACACAAGTGTATCAAATCGAATTTCAATCGTAAATGCAAATAATCAACAAACGCATTGTTCGTAGGTGTGTGCGTGTTTGTGTGTGTGTGTGTGTGCGTGTGTGTGTGAGTTTGTTTGTTTGTGTTTGACATTGTAAAGTGCAATTGCAATTTGATGTGTGTGTGTTTGCTTGTGTTAATTACGTAGCAGAGAGGTAAAAGGGTGCTGCGACGGCACCTACGAGCACCAGGACGATTGAATTGGAGTCAACGAGTTGCGCCCAATTTGTTGCATTGAAGTGCAGCCAAGACAAGAACCTGTTGTTGTTGTTGTGATTATCGCTCGTAGTGGGGCAAAAACAAAGAGAACGCAGCGACAAGGCGGAAAAATCGATTGTGCTCATTTTGTTTTGGTTCATGTTCACGTTTGCATGTTTGTTTGTGTGCGATTGTTTGTGTGCGTGTGCGTGTGTGTGTGTGTGTGTGTAGCATAATGAGTAAGAAAGCAACGCGCGAATTGCAACAATAACAAATCAAGACGATAAACCGATAACAGTATCCATTCTCCTAGGACATTTCTGCACATGGCATGACTCATGCGAGACTGCCCATACAAATAAGCAGGAACAATGAAAAATAATCAAAAGTATGCAAAACTGCCCCAAGATTTGGATCTGAGCTTTCAAAGTGATTTAGACTTGCTGCCGGACACAGCAGCTGATATCGATGTCGATGAGTTCAATGCGAGTGGAACGCCACCTGCTGGTTTAATACTAAACGACGACGACGACGACGACGTCGACGCCGGCGACGACGACGACGACGAAGACGACGAAATTGTCATTGCAGCGCAGGTTGTGGGCGGCAGCGACGGCAGCGGCGGCGGCGGCGGGGGTCTGCGTTTAGCCACACGTAAGCAGCGCAGGCAGCGCAAGCAGCAATTCGAACAGAAACTGTACAACAATAAGAACAAGATCTGCGGACTGGGCAGCGATAGTGTTATCGAGGTGAGTCAACAACTGCAATCGATAACAGACACACCAGTGCTGTTATCGATACGATCAATGATCAAATTAGTTTTAGGGGCAAATATCTTAAGGGGTTAAATGATTTGCCCATTTCACAATTAACCTTATAAATAAGCTCTCTTTAAAAATGCACACCTCACATTAAAATAATCTCTGCAATGCTACCTAAAAATACCTATTTAGCCAAAGCGAAAGATAAAAGCAAATTGCTAGCACAAATTACAAAAACAGCGCAAAACAAAGAACCAGAAAAAAACCACGCCGACAACGCTGACAACGAAGAAAGAAATATAAAAATCGATTTGACAACAAAGAAAGAAATATTCAGGCATTCGTAGCAGCTCACCTGAACGAACCAAAGAACCAAGAGTTCAAAAGTAATTTCTATTGTTTATTTAAATGTTTAAGCAAACAAAAGCGCCTAGTTGCCAGAGTTTGCACAGTTCAGCTCTGGCCAAGGAAATCAAATTCAACGCGCCAGATATTAATGGATTTATGTTGTTGTAAAAGTCATTTGGCGGCGGGAGACGCCTAATGACATCTACTTAAAATGTATACGAAAAGTCCAGGGTTTCCCTTTGTGTGGCATGTTCGCAGCGGCTTATATAAGTTCTATTTTACGCAGCTTATCTCTTAAGCAGGCTCGTTGCATACACTAAAAAAAAGTTTAAAAATATCGAAAACTAACTTACGTGTAGAAATACTCGAAGTCGAATCTTATTTCTAGTTTGAATGAAAGTTTAGTAAATACGCCGCACAGTTTAAATATTTAAGGCTTGTAGCCTTGTTCTATTTAGATACTTTGCTCAGTGCATTTTAGGGGCATAAAAATCAATAGTAGTAGGTATCTATTTTCCATTTACCCAAGTCTAGGCTATGTATGTACATAGCTAATGGAATAAAGTTGTGCGTACTTAATGACAAGGCGTTCACACCTGGCCATTAACTAAATATGTATGTGTATTTACCTTTATGAATATACATACATATTTACACTCTACCCCGCCTCCGTCTACAGCTCAGCTCAATCAATAATGCGTCAAGCCCATGTCAATCATGGCCGTTGTGAAAAATACTGTGCATTTTAAAATTAAGTACAGCCCCCCTTTAAAAAGCACTGAATGATTGTGGCACGCGTGGGTGTGGCGCCATCTAGCGCTCAAAATATTAACTATTCGAGCTATAGAAATACTTCTCAGGACATTTATAGAGAGTAGGAGTTTTTTTTTTAGGGGAAATTTGAATATTTTACGATTTTTTTTGTGTTATTTCAACTACTTTATCAACGATTTTTGAAAATAATTAGAAATATTTTGAATGCAGACATTTAGATTATTAAATTGCCAATTCTTATTTCTGGGCTATTGCGATTTCTGAGTTTCTATTGTAATACCTGCTGTCGACTCTGACGAAATGGGGCAAATTTGATAAGCCTGTCAATCTCAATGCAGATTATTCGTATTTCGCATTGCGTGCCAAGTTGTACGGCCTACAATTCGGATAATACGAGTAGCTCTGTTGGAGGATTACCTATAAAGCTGACATATAGGGTGTGTGTGTGCGTGTGTTGGGTCTCTGTGTGCAATTAGTGGTAGTATATATTTATTTTGCATTAAGCTTTATTTCATTCGCATTTCATTGCGAAAATTGTTTGGACTTCAGAGTTCTGATGGCATTCGCTCTAATGGCCTTAACGCTTAATTAAGCACATAAGCCTAATGGAAAACGATTTAAATGACACGTTTTTTGCATTCCATTGGGATCGTTTCATATCATTTTTAATTAATAACTATTTATGCACTATATGATTGCTGAGTACACACAGTTTGATGATGATGTTGACATTTCTAGAACTACACATTATTTAATATTTGAATTGCAATCAGTACACAACGCGGCCGCTTTGATAATCCTTCCAGCATTTGCTCCAATGCGGACAATCCGGCGTTCGAAAGCCTACAAAATTTATATAAATATAATAAGTTTTCTCCAAAGAAACTTAGATACACTCCACAACTTACCGCTGGCCAAGGCAATGGTTGCGAATGCCAAAAAGAATGCGACTTTAATCTTCATTGTGTCTAGGATTTGCGGTCTTCGGCAGCTCAATTTCAACTGATGCTCGGGTCTTGAATTCATACGTTATATGCATATTTTTTGCAACGCATTTATTGTAATCTCTGGGAAAGTCCTATAGTATAGTTACTTATCGCTAAAGAGTCTATCTGGCTACCTTGGGTATTTTATTTAATGAAAATAATGCCCATAGTTAATAAAGCTTACTATAAATTTGTTGATGTCTTTGCTTTTAAAATAATTTATTTTTGATAATATAAGAACAGATTGTTCTATGTTTTATAATCCGATAATCTTAATAGGTTTTTCCCTCGTCTTGATTTTCGAATTTACTGGAATGGAAAATGTGTTTGCAAATTAACATATATGCAGCGTGCCTTATCAGCGCACATTAAAATATGTAAATCATGTGTAGGTGTTATCGGGAAGTATTTCTATTTTTCAGATTGTTGTCAATGGGACTTATAATTTTCTTATTGATGCCTCAGCGAAAAACAACGCAGTTCAACGGGCACTTGGGGGCGATGATTGACCTATCTTATTAGTTATTGGCTGTATCAACTATTTAGATAGATTACAAAAAACCTTGAATTTGATAGGTAATTGATATTTAATCAATTAGGTAATCAATCAAATATGCCTTTGCAGGTTAACTTATCGATCGTACTACGGTTCGATATTTTGTGTAAATACTATCGATAACTTCGATAGCTTATTTAAGCATTTTACAGAGAGTATTCAATTTTAAATTGTGGCATAGCAATATTGTAATTTATAGCTGAAATAGCAGCTAAAGGTCAATAGCCATGTTCTTGTATGACAATTTAACATGCTTCCTATATACGAGCAAAATCTTAATAAGGTTAATCTACTATATCATTAAGAAGCGGAGGAACAATGAGTTTTTTATATGGAAAACACTTTTGTTCTTTATGTTATGCTGACCAAACTCAGAGATTATGTGCTTCACTAATCTCCTCACATATCTGCAAGCCCGTAAGTGTATTTACGGTTGGCTTGTCGAAAAGACCATTTTCTTGTTCCTAAGATAATATTACCTACATTTAGTTCTTAATAGATACCTTAAGAACACTTGTTTAAGGCTCTATTGCCACCTTGTCCCTGTTCTCATTCAGCTCTTTGTGTGTGTGTGCTTCTCTGTGTCTGTGTGCGTGTGAACTAACCAATTAATTTATGCTCTGGCCCCGACTCAAATGTGGCTCGCATCAAGTGTGGCTCATTATGAAGGAGAGACTCGGTTGAACCGTTGCAAGCTAACCTACATTCTCGGGCAGCGTTGTCCTCGTTGCAGGCACACGTTGCACGTTGAACGTTGCAGCTGCTGTCGCTGCCGCAACACGCATACGCCCCTTGGTACGTGCTGCGTGCTGGGCTTCATTTGTGGCTCAACTGGCCGTTCTACGTTGTGTTCTCTGTGTGCTTCCCCTTTGTTTGTTTATTTTAGTAAACACAATGCACAAAAAACAAAACACAGAGCAATAACATGCAGCAAGGAGGCGTGGCAGTGGCAAGTGCTTTTGTGGCGTTGCATAGGCGTTGTCGGTGGGCGTCGGCCGCTGTGTCGCCTGTCGCCTCGGTGGCCTTTTGTTTTTGGGATTTGTGACATGCAAAATAAATGGAGAAAACGCTTTGTGCCACATGAATTTATAACAGGGCTAAGAAAATGTTATCAACCGGGCTTACAGTCAACGGAGCCATCCAGCAGAGCAAATATCCTACATTTAAGCGCATTACACGCTATAATAAAATCATAATATAATGTGCATTATTATGGGCCATGGCTCGGCTACGTGTTGGCTGTAATGAAGACTGAATCACGTTGATGAAGGCAAATACACACATTTCTACAGCTTCTTCTTCACGGTATTTAACATAATTTTGCATAGCTTGAGCAGGTATTAAATTAAGGGCTGAAAAGGTATTATATATATGCTGCACCCATGCTATGATAGTCGCATTTGGTTCTGGCCCTTAAATGTGTATTTATTAATTATTTATAACGTGGACATGGGCATATTATTATCTATAATTTTCTATAATAAACTTTGTGAGAAAAGTAAGATGATTAAGTAATATTCATTTTATGATATGCTCCAATTTTAAGAGGAGTTTGTTTTGTACAGAGCATAGCTTGCTGCTGAGTTATCCATAAAGTCTTATCTGTCTATGTCAGTTCAATTCTCGACTGATAATTCGCATTACAGGTATATGATATAATGTTCCCATTCCATCGGCATTTGTGCTGCTTGCAATAAGTTGAAGTTTCACAAAGTTGAGAAATTGCGCCGCGACTTCGGCATTCGTTTGGGCGGCCTTTTGCAGAGCGTAAAGCCAGTTACCTGGCATGTCGCTTGAGGAGCGAAAAGCCAGATGAAAAGCCAGGCTAGAAATTTTTTAAATGTATTGACTTTATCTTTCTTAGTGTTTTTATTGTCTTTGGTCACACTGATTAATCATTAACCAGTTAATTGAGACAGAAGTGGAGAGCGAGAGAGTGAGGAAAAGCGTAAGAGTAGAAGCAAGTGAGGCATGTATAAGAACAGAGTGATATGTTAAGAAGTTTGTTCAAAGATATATAAATTTTCTGTTATAAAACATACATCAAGATCAAAATGAACCTTATTTTATTTAAGGCATCCACAATGATCAAAATTAACTTTATGAAATTCGAAAATGAAAATAAAATTAGTAACTTTAAATCCACGTACACAGCTATAAAAGTTTTTAAAATTTAATTTATGTTTTTTCGCCTTCCACTTTTGCAAATATAATTTGCACTTTTAATTGGTCATAAAAAGAAAAGAGAGAGAGGGAGCGAAAAACCAACCAGTTGGCCAGTTGGCCAAATTGTTAACTAGCAACTCGCATCCTGCAGGCGTTGAGCAAAAGTTTGTTTCCCAATTTCATGTTGTATTTTCTCCAAAAATATTCCTGTTCTCACTGCTCTTCCCCCTTTCCCCCTGCTGCTTCTAGCTGCATGT